GGGGGGGGGGACTGGAGGACTGGGAGGAGACGTAAAAACACAAACAGGTTCTTCAGTGATTCAGGTAGTTTTTATTCAAATCTTTGTTGGAACTATTTTCAGCGGTGGATGAATCCACATTTCCTGCTCTAGTGAGTATCTGTGTGACTGAGTCAGAATAAAGTGATGACGATTATGATGATGATGATGATGAGTTTTAATGGAGATCAAAGAGACATCAAGACACTTCATTCTCTTTGGGTTTTTCACACAGACTATAAGAAGTGGACGTAGTCGTCATCACGTCTCTCGTTGGTTTGTGATGTTTTGAAGCCTCGAGTTCATCATTTTGTCTGTTGCAACCAGTGAACAGGAAGTGACCATATTAGGACTGAGGAGGAGTGACGTAGAGACGCCGTATACGTCTCTGGTGTCGACCTGTCAATCACTGTGTAGCCCCGCCCTAAAGCATCCCCTGCTTTATGGTCTGTGTGACTCTAAATGGACCATAATGTACTAAATGAACATCATGCTGTATTGAAGAAGACTTGAAACTAGAGATTGAGACCATAAACTCATGTTTACAATGTTTACTGAGGTAATAAATCAAGAGAGAAGTAGAGTCATTTTCTCATAGACTTCTATACAACCAGAGGAGTCGCCCCCTGGTGGACACTAGAGAGAATGCAGCTTCAACACATGAAGCTTTGACTTGGTGTAAGCTGAACCAGGCTCTGTTTTGTTTTTGTTGTCATTGTTAGTAGTGTTAGCCTGTTAGTAGTAAATGACACTCTTGATTATATTATTAAAGAACCGGAGGTTCAGATGCTGTACAGGAAGTCAGCATAGAGACGTAGTTTACACAATAAAAGACATGAAGTCAAATGCGTCCTGGTGGTTGTGGACTCGTCTTTAAAGCCGCCCTGAACGACAGATGCAGAGCAAGAAGACATCAAACCTGTTCGGTTCTTCAGTCCAACATGTCTTAGTCCAGTTTATTCTGTCTTGTTCTTATCTGTTACTCTGAAGGAGCGCAGTCGCACATAAACACCACTGAACCTGGATCAGCTGAGGTCTGGACTCAGGACTCAGAGTCCAGAGAGGTTCAGTCCACCAGCTGCTCATAGTGACCTCTGTCATCACATTTAATCAGCTCGGATTGGACTCGTAGACACACTTTGATGAGGTTTGGACGTCAACTGTGACGGACCTGAAGCGTGTTAGAGGCCAGGATGGAACCTGTGTCAAACTCTTGTCATCTCTTGTTGTCTCTTGTCGTCTGTTATTGTCTCTTGCTGTCTCTTGTCGTCTCTTTGACTCTTGTTGTCTCTTGACGTCTCTTATTGTCTCTCGTTGTCTCTTGTCTGTTATTGTCTCTTGCTGTCTCTTGTCGTCTCTTTGACGTCTCTTATTGTCTCTCGTTGACTCTTGTCGTCTCTTATTGTCTCTCTTTGTCTCTTTGACTCTTGTTGTCTCTTGACGTCTCTTATTGTCTCTCTTTGTCTCTTTGACTCTTGTCGTCTCTTGACGTCTCTTATTGTCTCTCGTTGTCTCTTGTCTGTTATTGTCTCTTGCTGTCTCTTGTCGTCTCTTTGACTCTTGTCGTCTCTTTGACGTCTCTTATTGTCTCTCATTGTCTCTTGTCTGTTATTGTCTCTTGCTGTCTCTTGTCGTCTCTTTGACTCTTGTCGTCTCTTTGACGTCTCTTATTGTCTCTCGTTGTCTCTTGTCGTCTCTTTGACTCTTGTCGTCTCTTGTCGTCTCTTATTGTCTCTCTTTGTCTCTTTGACTCTTGTTGTCTCTTGACGTCTTTTATTGTCTCTCTTTGTCTCTTTGACTCTTGTTGTCTCTTGTCGTCTGTTATTGTCTCTTGTCGTCTCTTTGACTCGTCGTCTCTTGTTGTCTCTCTTTGTCTCTTTGACTCTTGTCGTCTCTTGTCGTCTGTTATTGTCTCTTGTCGTCTCTTTGACTCTTGTCGTCTCTTATTGTCTCTCTGACTCTTGTCGTCTCTGATTGTCGTCTATTGACGTCTCTTATTGTTTATTTTACTCATCGTCTCTCTTTGTCTCTTTGACTCTTGTCGTCTCTTGTCGTCTCTTATTGTCTCTCTGACTCTTATCGTCTCTTATTGTCTCTCTTTGTCTCTCTGTCTCTTATCGTCTCTTATTGTCTCTCTTTGTCTCTCTTTGACTCTTATCGTCTCTTGACGTCTCTTGATGTCTTTTGCCGTCTCTTGTGACATTACATTACAGTCATTTAGCAGACGCTTCTATCCAAAGTGTCTTACTCTTCTATCACACGTAGGCTCAGCTACGGGAGCAATGTTTTTGGGGTTAAGTGTCTTGCTCAAGGACACATTGACATGTAACTAGCAGAGCCGGGGATCGAACCGCCCCTGTCTCTTACTATCTCTCTTTGTCTCTCATTGTCTCTAGTCGTCCTCTAAATGTGAGCAGAGGATCATCACTTGTCTTAAGGGGAGCAGAGGTAACCGTCTGTCCACTGGAAGTTAAGTGAGACGTTCTAAAAGTGTCTCAGACGGAGACATGAATGTGTGGTGGCGGTGGAGACGAGTCCTCAGATCATGTGAGATAAATCAGGCGAGATCACGAGAGAGAGAAAACATTTGAATTCGTCCCAATAAGACGGCAGACACTTTGTCATCTCCATCGGTTACCGGGGAAACTGTTTGTCTTTTCAAGTTTGGAGATGAAGTCATCGGGTTATTGTTCTTAAACTAGCTGCCGGTGAAACTGTCAAAGAGACGCTGCAGCTGAAACAGTGTTTAATGTGGGTCTCTGGGGGACGAGAGAGATGCGTTTGAACAGAGACGAGGGTGTCAATTAAGAGACAGAAACTTCAAAATGGAGGCGATTAAACTTTGAAATCTTTAAAACGCTCCCCGCTGAATTGTCTCCTCTGAGGAAAAAGGTCACCAGAGTTCACGGTTTGATTCCTCAGCGAGCAACAAGGACAGACAAGTGGTATTTATTTACTGTCAACACGTCTCCTCCTCAATGTCTCTGTCTCTGTGCACGTCCAACCTGTCTCAGCTTCTAAAGAGAGACATCAGGACACCT